TCCCCTGCACACAAAGAGAGGCGGCTTGCTGTTACTTTCTGGAGAAACGCTTTTCTCCTTTCCCTGTGCTGGAAAAAAGATGTGTTTGAGTGCTCTTACGTTGAACTACACAGCCCTCATTTTGACTGCGTTCTTCATATGTACCGAGAGTTTGGGATAAAATAAATCTGCATTTCTCTCGCCAAAGTCAACTTACGCATCGTCGAACATCCAGTCTCCAGCCAAATGTAGCGCTGGCGTTTGGGGACCAGATGTCAAAATTTCAGAAATAGCCGTTACCCAGTGGCGCTAAACGGAACTCCCGCGAACACATAGAGATGAATAGCGAACTCTACCGCGAATGCGCCCTACTCTCTTAGTGATAATCTACGAAAATATCTAATATTTTTTTTTTAATTACATAACCTTTAGTTCCCAAACTCTGGCATAGTTTTTACTTTTTTTTGTCTTCCGTCTTCGTTTGCAAGCAAACAAAAAAAATCTTTGATGGGGCGTCACAGTCACGGTCGATTCCCTCTTCAAAGTAATGTGAAAGGTTCGAAACTCTAGGGAACATGTAAATAAAACCCACTAAAAAGTAATAAAAAATGGATGATTTGTATTATAAAAAGGTGAGAAAGGAACTAAATGCAAAGCAAAATAGGAAATAAACAAGAACTGTGCATATTTACAAAGTCTGGATCAGTTCGAAGATTCCGAGAGATTGGGCGTCGATGCCAGTCTGAGTGTCGGGGTATTTTTTCGGGAGAGGCGATGACGAAAGGAGTATCGGAATGCTGGCGGTTTTGGGTTCTTTTCGGTCTTAAATACGGAGCTCGCCTAGCGTACCGATGATGGAATCAGTTTTCTGATAACGTAGATAAGGCGGCACCCTTGTAACCCACAACCTGGCAGCCCAGTCCTGGTTTGGGGCGTGTCCCAAGCGCCCGGTCCCGGTTGCCGGCCGTGAGTTGTTCTGCACTGACCCTCTCAAGCTTTTTTTTACGTCATCTTCTTCTCTTTCTTTCCCTCCTCTTCTTTTAACAATGTCCACATCATCACACCTGTGAACATTCGCCGCCCCTCGCGGTATTCTTTACAAAAAGAACTTCGGGGACAGAATGCCGACGTATCTCCTGGTAATCTCTTTTAGCCTTCGAGAAGAGATCTTCCAAGCTTGCCACGAGGACCCGACATCTGTCCACCCTGGCTAGAGCAGGACTCTTCCAAGGATTTGAGAAAAGTACTACTGGCCCAAGCTCCCGAAGACTGCCAACCTCTGCGCACGATCATGCCACGAGTGCCTTTGACGGAAGAATTCGCCGACGAAGCCAGCAGGCACCCTGCAGCCGATCGCGCCCCCGACTGCCCCGTTTCAGCAGATTGGGATGGATCTGACTGAACCTTTCCCGCCGTCAACAGAGGAATTCCGTTAGATAATTGGGGCCATTCTGATTATCTTACCCGGTACGCCGAGGCAAATGCACTCCCGTCGGGAACCGCGGTGGAAGTAGCCAAGTTCCTCGTCGAGTTCATCGTCCTCCGGCCCAGCGCTCCCCAAACCCTGGTTACGAACCTAGGCTAATCGTTCATGGCGCGGTTTTATAATTCCCACCCTCTACTTTCCGAAAAACTGAAATGGTCTTCAAAAGTTGCAGGGAAATTCATTGGTGGACTCTTAAGGCTTGCGTTCGCATGACCCTTGGAACTGCAAAACGCGTTCCCAATCAAGAAAAGCTAACGCTGACGGCATCCGTTTTTTCCGTTTTGCTTTTGACTTTTGCTTCCTCTTTTGCTTCGTGTATTTTTGGCGCCACTTTTTGATCTTGTTACGGGTTCAGTGTTAGAGTTTCCAAAAGGGGGACGTGTGTTGCGATTGCAAAGGGTCACGTTAACGGATTCCAAAAGAATTCCCCAATGGAATCATTTGTAATTCTTTTCATCCCTTTTCTGTACTCTCCATGTCAGACTACGTCAACTTCCATGGATACGATCATCCATATCATTCGTGGAAAGAACCAAATCTGCACTACTCGCGGAGAGAGCCGCATCCATCGTTTTAACTACGCACACAGATCAAAACCCACGCACAGCTACTACGGAAACCCAGAGCGAAGAACAACCGGCGACGGCAGAAGGGCAACTGAGCACGCTCGCATTCCGCCGCGTCGCTGAGCAACACCTTCTGGATAACAAAGTCGTAGAGCTGAATGAGATGGCGCCATCACAGAGGGCCAACGCTAAGCACAGGTTGGACACGCCGATTGCGTAAACGTTTGGCTCAAACTTGACTCAAAGCTGAGCGCTGACGAGACACTCGTTTTCAATCTGTGTCCAGCGTTGGCCTTCTCTCATAACGCCTCTCTTTCATGCCTACGGCTTTGTTGTCTTGGAGGTGTTTCGCGGTGCCTCCTTCTCTCTGACTCCGCGACAGGTGTGCGCGCGACTTTAACGAAAACGAAAGGGCTCGTTTTCACGAAAACCGGGCGGCGTTTGTCAGTTTGTCAGCGCCGAGGAGAAAGGGAGAGGTTGACGTGTGTGACCGACTCCGAGCTCTGTTTAATCGACGTGCCGTCGGGCTCGTGCCAACGAGTAGCGTCGTCATCCTTGTTGGTGGCGACGCTGGATGTATTGACAGCTACACCTGGCATAAAGGGCAGCCCACAAACCCTTTGTTGGTAAGAAGTCTAATGTCAAGACTATGCCGGCGTATCCGTTGGAGCCATTCATGACGCCGCCTTATCCCGGTATCTACTCATTTGCCGGAACTGTAAACAAACCAATACTGCTGGCCGTAGCTCCATTATGGTCGCCGAGTTTCACGGCTGGAACAATTAATTACGGCAAAACTGACGGTCTTAAACCTCGAGTGAGCGGAGAAGCATAGTGAAAACACGGCCCCAAAGAACACAAAAGATGGCATAGCAGCAAGGAATCTCTCTAACATAAATTCCGGCGGGTCCCATTGAGATTCCCGAACCGACAGTAGCGTTGCATCGTGGTCTCTCGCAAGACCCCAATAGATATGTCCTTTCTTTGCATTACTTCGGCATAGATCTCCAATCAATAGCTCCCATAAGAAGAGATCTGCACCTTTTTTGTCTTGTAACGATATCACCAGTGGATCTACATACAGGTCACTCATAAAACTCTCCAATTGCTGCACTCTAAGAAATGCCTGCGCGTCTATTCACCCGCAAAACACTCAAAGAGCCAACCTCTGCAATCTAGGAAATCAGCTAGGCGAACAATGAGGTGGAACATCCGTTCAGACCTAAAATTAAAATCTGCGCCGAGGCATTACGCAATGCAAAGCGTCATGCTTCCATTGCGTAATGCCACAGTGTAGACTTTATTTTGAGGTGTAAACAGATGTTCCTCGCTATCATTCGCTGAGCTGATTTCGTAGATAGCAGAGATTGGCTCTTCGAGTGTTTGGCGAGTAAATAAAGGCGCACGCCTTTTTTAGAGTGTGACTCTATATTATTATATAACTTTTCGCACTTTTACTTTTCTGCTGTGCCACCATCGGTAACCCGGATTTCAGGCTGGCGATTATGAGTTGTTTTTTTCTTAAACATGTTAGTGATAAACCCGAGAGTTTTTTATGTCCTTCCTGCCAGCCTCGAATTCTGCCTGCGTGTTGCAGAATCGGTAACAGACACCGTGCCTTATGCTCAATCACGTGTAGGCAATTCATCTGCGAAATACATTTTATGACCTTGCTAGCACGAAATAAAAAAAAAAAGATAAGAATACTTTCTTCGAAGTAGGTACCATTTCTGTCACGGAATCCACAGATCGATTCCTAAAGATACAAAATATGTTTGTTTCCCGTGGAAGGGATATAAACGTAACTTTTTTTTATTCTCAAAAGACTCATGTTCTTTTTTTATTATTATTAAATATTTTATGTCTCATTGTTTACCAGTTTGCTTGAATGAGTATGAAAAAGGGGGGGGGGGGGGGGGGGGGGCCTTTTGACTCTACCTGCGAGAAAGAAGGCGATAAATCTCAAACATCGTAGTTGTTTTCATCCCTTTTGCATTGCCGCGAACTTAAGAATTTCGTGTTCGTGTGTTTGTTCGGCTGAGACTCGTGTTCAGTCAGTGAGAGCACGACTTCGAGCCGAACGCCCGCGACGCACTTCCATTCAATCGGTGCCCCGCGTTGTCCCGCAGCATATGACGCAAAAATCTAGCCCTACGGCCTTTCTAACTTGAAGGCGTTTACAAGAGGTGTCAGTAGATGACTTTCCCGTAATTCGCTGTCCGTTTTGGCGCGCGGCCTTCTACGAACTTCGCACAAGGTCTATTGTTTGTGGTTTTTTTTATGTGCTTGAAGACAAAGAACAAGTATGCAACCTAACAGAAAGAAAATATATACCATGACGTGGCCCAAAAATATTGATTCAATTTTGATCCACTTACACAAACATGCCTTTGTTTTATTATATCTGATTACCACCCCGCGCAATGAAGTCAACGTAAATTTATTTAAAAATAATGCATACTGAGAAGGTCAATAGGCCTTGAGGTCCCGGATTTACATGGCAGAGCTTCATTATGTTTGAGTGTTCCTCGCAGAGATGCGAAATAGACACACCGGAGCACATAATTAAATTTAATATTAATTGGTACGAAGCATAAGAAACACAAACGTCCAGGTAGCTCAGATTTGTATCCCGAGGTGACCCACTCAAATGCTGGTGCTAATAAACCTCAATATTGCAAGCATCATTTCAAAAAGCAACAGCAACGTTGGTGACACACTTAGAAAAATATTTAATTCTGCAAGAATTATCGGGAATAACGCTGAAGCCAGTATTAAGCCATTGATACAGAATGATGCTGTCTTAAAAAGCGGAAAATCTAAACGACTCCTCCCAAGTTCTCGGAGCTCGACAGAGCGTTAAGGGCAGGGGTTACATTCTTCTCAAGTATTCTAAGGCGCAGTTGCTCCAGATGTTCTTCCTTGAAGGGCGTTTTCCAATCGCCTACCATTCCTGTACGAACGAGTACACTTTTGTTCAGAAATCATTCAGAACCAACCCAGGCAAACCTGTTTGCGGCCTCTAACAAGTCCTTATCGCCTTTTTCAAACAATTTTCTCATTTTCTCTTCCCTAAACGTCAGAAACTGGGACATGAAGGAAAGGCTGCTCTGTTCAACGACCTTTTGGAAGAGATCTTTTGACACCAGCGCCTTGGCGTACTCGTCTCCCAGAAAACGATCAAGTCTCAAGACAATGTCTCTGAAGTTCCTCTTGAATTCCTCATACGAGACAAAAAAGACTTTGGCGCCATCCTTATGAGGGTACCTGAACATCAAGTGATCAAAGAAGTGGCCACGATCGTTCTGGCCTGTCACGCAGAGCTCGAAGAAATCATCGAACGTTCCATCCCTGAATCTGTACATCTGCACGGTGCGAGTGAAGGAGTAGAAGGAAACGCAGATGTCCAGGAGGTTCCTTGCCAAGTACACGTACTTGGCCTTGGTGTTTGTTGTATTCGAGTAGGCAGAAAGACTACCGCCGAATACTTCGCATTTATTCTGGTCCGGCCGTTGCGACCGGTCGGCAGATCGAGAGCTTGCGAGTGCCCGCGTTCTGCGTGTGCGCGCGTTCTGTGGCTGCTGTGCCAGCATCGTCGTCCTCTAGCACAGTGTTCCGACACCGCGTATAACACTTCTCCCCCCTAGAGAGAGTCACCATGTTGCTGAGGCAACCGTCTTGGGCGTAGAGATCTTGATGATGCAGGCACAATGCTTGAGTCGGGATGTGCAAGAGTCTCTGGGCCTGGAGCATTTCGTTCGAAGTTTGTGGGCTCACTATTTATCGCAATAGTCCACTGCGGTAGAATACCTGGAGCCGGCTTCCCACAAATGTCCCTCGAAGAGGTCTCGGCCACCGGATATTCTGCGTGTTTCTCAATTCGGTTGCTGATGTGGTCCTCGTGCCGTCGAACTGTACCTCGCTCGGTAGCGACCAGCCAAGAACGCGATCCAATTCTCTTTGTGACGGTTCCTGGCATCCACTGTGGTGTTCCTGTAAATATTTTTACAAAGACGTCTTGGCCAACCGCGAGGCCCCTCGGCGACAAAGACTGTTGCTCCTTCCTTTCTTCCGTGTTCCCCTTTTGCTCGCTTTCGAGGCGACCCAGGCGAGTGATCTGAGTTGTTAACTCTCGACCGAACATCATCATCGCTGGTGTCTTGCCTGTAGTTACACTTGTGGTGGTGTGCTGCTTGAAAAGAAACCGGGCGATCCTGCATGCCAGAGTTCCTGTTTTGTCTTTGGCCAGTGCACGCTTCGTTTCTTGCACCATTCTTTCGGCCTGACCGTTGGTGGCAGGATGGTATGGCGCACTTGTTCTGTGCTTAACTCCGTTTTCCTTAAAGAATTCGGTTGTCTCTTGTGATACGAACGATGTTCCATTATCTGTAACTACCTTCTCCGGCAGTCCAAACGTTGCAAATAAATTTCGAAACTGTTCGATTACTGAACTTGATTGTATGTTCTTCATTTGGCGTACCTCCAGCCACATGCTGTAGGCGTCCACGACAATTAAAAACATTTTACCTTCCAGAGGACCGGCAAAATCAGCGTGGATGAGTTCCCATGGCTGGGATGCACGATGCCAGTCTGGAACAGGTACTTGAGGTGGGGATCGCTGGAGTTCCAGACAAGTGACGCAGGATCTTGCCTTTCGTTCGATGTCCTTGTCTATGCCCGGCCACCACACGTAGCCGCGTGCAGCGCTCTTCATTGTAACCATGCCTCTGTGGCCAGCGTGCAATACGTTCAATACTTGAGATCTGCATGCGCTGGGGGCTACTATCCTTGTACCACGAATTAGGCATTGGTTGACTGTTGACAGCTCATTGAAAATGCTCTTGTAGGGACGATAGTCTTCGCCCTTCAACTTTTGCAGGTTTCCTTCTTGAACGGCTCTGTAGACGCGATTCAGGATATCGTCTTGCTCTGTCAATTCTGCGATGCGTTCTGGTGACAGATCCGAAATCGGAGAACATGCTAGCATTAGCACATCTCCAGGTATGCACGGTTCGTCTACCTTGGCTGGTAATGGTAACCGGCTGAGCGCATCAGCGTTCTGGTGGCATGCTCCTCGCCTGTACACCAGGGTGTAATCGTACGCGCTCAACTTGACGCACCATCTTGTCATTCTTGGAGATAACATATGTGGAATCGGTTTGGTCGATCCAAGGATTCCAAGGAGCGGTTGGTGGTCAGTGTATATGACGACATGTCGTCCGGCAATGTACTCGTGAAAATGACACACTGCGTACACGACGGCCAACCCTTCCTTGTCTAGCTGCGAATAGTTTTTTTCTGCAGCTCCCAATGTCCTTGACGCAAAGGCGACCGGCGCTTCACGTTTTAGGTCATCTTCCTGGGCAAGGACTGCCCCCAGGCCGTAGGGCGACGCGTCGCAGGAGAGCAGCAGCGGCTTGTTTTCGTCATAGTGTGCCAAAACAGTGGATTCTTTCACCAACTCTTTCAGTTTCTGGAATGATACCCTATGCTTGTTTTTCCATTCCCACGGGACATTCTTCTGAAGAAGTCCATAGAGGTCGGTTGCAACTGTGGCTCTGTTCCTGAGAAACCGGTCGTAGAAGGCCAGCAGTCCCAGAAACGCCTGCAGTTCGTTTTTTCCTCTCGGTTCCGGCGCGTCCAGAATGGCTTGCACTTTTTCATCTGTTGTGTGAATTCCTGCTGTGTCAATTCGGTGCCCGAGGAACTTGGCTTCGCGAACTGCGAACTGACATTTTTCTTTCTTGAGCCGCAGGCCTGCGTCTTCGAGTCTGGACAGTACTTGGTCCAGGCGTGCAGCATGTTGTTCTCGGCTCTCTCCACTCACGATGATATCGTCCAAGTAGATACTTATGCCCTGAATGTCAGCCAAGGTTGTTTCCATTGCACGCTGGAAAATTGCTGGCGCCGCTGAGATTCCAAAAGGCAGGCGTTTCACTTTGTACAAGCCTTTTATGGTGTTGATGGTCAATACAGCTGCAGTGGCTTCAGACACTTTCAACTGTTGGTAGGCTTGACAAAGGTCCAACGTCGAGAAAACGGTGCCCCCTCTCAGGTTTGCCAGAACTTCTCCTGTAGTTGGTAGTGGGTACGCTGCCTTCTTTGATACGGCGTTGACAGTACTTCTGTAGTCTCCACAGAGTCTGATCTCTCCACTCTTTTTACGTACGAGGACTAGAGGTGTAGCCCACTCCGAATGTTGTACTGGCTCGATTATATCCTGCTCTTGCAGTCGGAAGAGCTCTTGCGTTACTGCAGATCGCAGTGCTAGTGGAACGGAACGAGCCTTGCAGAACTTGGGCGCTGCTCCCTCCTCTAGTTCTAAGTGAACAGAGGGTCCAGTGTATCCCGAAATGTCCTCATTGAAGACCGTGGAATGGCGGTGTAAAACCGCTTGTACCTCTGGCGGCGTGCTCTGCTGTCGCACTTGGTTGATTCCTTGTAACCTGATGTGTAGGGCCTGGAACCAGTCGCGGCCCAGGAGGTTACAGCCGGATCCCTTCAACACTAGAAGCTGAAGCACGTAGTCTTTTGACTTGAATCTGACGGTAGCTTGGAGGGATCCCAGAAGCTTCAGTCCTTCGCCACTCCAAGTACGCAGTTCAACATCGTCGTGCGTAAGTTTCGGCGAATTCCGTGGCCAGGTTTTTCGGAAGGTATCTTCGCTAATTAGTGAGCAGGCGGAACCCGAATCAACTTCGAACTCCAGTGGTTTGCCTTCAATTCGAAGTGTGACGTGAAACTTTGAAACAGCTGTGTCCGGCGCCAGCTTGTGAAGTTCATAAAATGAGCATCCAGCATTAGGCGGTATTTGGCTCTCTGAACTTGTCGATGCCATTATCTGGTTCGCTTTCTTGAGCGGTTTGCTTGCCTGATGCTTTTTCTTGGCAATACAAGCTTTTTCAATATGTCCGCGCTTGTTGCAGTACCTGCAGTCCGCGTTCTTGAAACGGCACTCTTGCGGATCATGTTGTCCCGTACACCGGTAGCAACGTCGCCCCTGTTGTGTTGAGGGCTCCTTGTTCCTCTTTTCCGTCTGGTGCACCTGATGCTCGATTTTGCTCTTGATGTCCTGCTGCTGCTTAAGTGCGCTCTCAGTTCTGACTGCCATGTCAAAAGCAGCTGCAAACGTCAAATCTTTTTCTGCAAACAGACGTTGCTGCAGCAGCTCGTCGCGTATGCCGCAGACAAATCTGTCGCGCAGCATGATGTCCAACGGCAGTCTGGTGTCGCAAAGAGGTGTTGCTGGTGTCCCAGTCGTAGCCCTTGTACCGGAGACCTGACCTGCCGTTGATGGCTGCGATGCCGTCGTTGCAGCAGTTATCGATGAGGTCAAGGGTATACTGAAATTGCAGTCTGCTGCCAGTTGCTTCAGAGTCGCGACGTAACTGTTGATTGACTCGTCGGCTAGCTGGTCCCGACGCTGGAACTTGTAGCGACTGTACAGCTCCGAGGCTTGAGGGTCGAAGTGTGTCCCAAGGATCGACACCAGTTCCTCGAACCCGATATCTCCCGGCGTCCTGGGGGCCACTAAAGCTCGAACGATGTCGTACGTTTCTGGCCCGCAAAGCGTGAGTAGCAGTGCCCGCTTCTTGTCCAAGCTCGTGATAGAATTAGCCACGAAGTAGAACCCTAAGCGTTCGATCCATGACGCCCCTGCCTTGCCTGAGAAGGCTTCGATGGTACCTTGGGTCGGCATGGCTTGCGGTGGCTGTCCAGGCTTCGTTGGCTCGTACCAGGTCTCGTCGCCAGTGTTGTATTCGAGTAGGCAGAAAGACCACCGCCGAATACTTCGCATTTATTCTGGTCCGGCCGTTGCGACCGGTCGGCAGATCGAGAGCTTGCGAGTGCCCGCGTTCTGCGTGTGCGCGCGTTCTGTGGCTGCTGTGCCAGCATCGTCGTCCTCTAGCACAGTGTTCCGACACCGGGTATAACAGTGTTTATGGGCTGGCGTTCGTAACTGAAAAGTGTCTTGAAACAGCGAAGAGGGTGCATGTCCCTCGCAGGGCCTGTACCTACCATTTCGATGTATGGCGTTCGTTTGTGGTACTCCGTACTCTGTTAGGTCGTTGGCGGACTGGCCTCTGCAAAAGGTGGCGTGTGGTAAGCGGTCAAGAAATCATCAAACATCGCATGCTTCAAGCTCACTGATTCCCTTGACAAAAGAAGCAAACAAAACAGTTTACGTGAATCATGATATGTCTTACCATAGATTCGTAAAAACTTCGTAAAAACACAGCTGCCCTTCTGTTTCTCACCGCTTCCGCCAATCTCCATTAGTGCAATAGCTGTTCCTTGATATAGGATCTACTCAGAGTAACGTCAGAAGGGACTCGAACCACTCATCTGTTGATTCGTGGGCCGGCACTTTGCCGAGTCACCGAGGCAGCTTTAGTTCTAGTAGAAAGAATGGTGCATCAGACCTTGCTTACCTGTATAAAATAAGTTTCATGATTTGTTCAAGCCGGTTGTTTCCGCATTTTAGAGGCGAAACCATGACGATGTCGCCATTGTGGAGCACGAAGATGAGTGCCTCGTTGTCGAGGTCAACCTTGTATGCCGAGAAGTCCCTGACTCCGTCGATATCCTGATAAACAGGAACGTGCTTCGAAGACATTCCTACAAAATAAAAGTAGACTTGAAATACTTTGTACCAGCGATAACTTCAATTGTTACGCATTGCCGATTTTTTATCATATTTTTTTTTTATTTAGGGGTTGCTTAATCTCCATAGAACAATTATTTCTGCGATTAGGAGGGAACAGAGCTTGGTGATGTGTAAACTTAGAGAAATCTCGAATATTCAGGGTGTAAATTTGAAATAGACCAATTACACTGACGCTTCGATCTCACTTTGGGCGGTCCGCAAGAATCGAATTCTCAACGTATCACGCTAAAATTTACTCCATAAGTGCGGCTGGGTGGTGCATGCATGGCGTCAAAATATCAACGGACGAGCTTAGATTGTTTAGAAAAAAACTTTCGGGCTACCTGCCATGGCATACGCAGACGACGTCATGACCGAACTCGCCTCGCTAAATCTCCCACCGAGAGAACTCGGAAGCGTCAAGGGCGCCGGCAGAGACACGCGCCGGCCTTTTGAAAATTGTTCGAGGATCGTTTCTAAGCTCGGTGCCGGCGCGCCCGAAGCTGGCGACATCTTTCGTCGGCAGATTTAACTAGGCGACTCCCGTCATGACGTCATCTGCGAGTGCCGCAACAGAATGGTACGTTTACACTTGCGGATCCGCTGGCGGATCCGCAAGTGTAAACGTACCATTAGGCGCCCGGTTCCGGCTTGAGCGGCGTCGGCGTCGCGGCGCATTGTGAGAAACGTCCCATAATGCACTGCGGTGACGTTTCGGCACCGCGCGGTGCATTATGGGGAAAGGTCCCATAATTCACCGCGTGGGAGGGACGAGGGGGAGAAAGAGTAGGGGAGGGCAAGAGGCAGGAAAGGGAGGGAGGAGGAGGAGGCAGGGGGGAGGAGGCGTGAAGCACGAAAGTTGCAGATGAGGAGGGAGGAGGAGAGGGTACGAATGAGGAGGGGCATACCGTCCCCTCCTCAAGAGCTGCGCTCTAATTCGGCATTACAGGGAGTTGTAGACGTCTTTCATTTTTTTTTTAAAGGTAAGCTCCTCTGTTTATGTGCTTAGATTATGTGTGCATCGCCTAGCCTCACCTCTGTAGTAAATCCCTGTGCAATGCGTTGAGAAACCGATTTTTGCGGACTCTCCAAAGTGATACAGAAGCGTTCGTGTACATGTTGTATATTGGCCGAAAGGAGGGATGGGCGAAAAGCGGTTAAAATCGAACAGTGAACACAGCAAAGAGAGCCCAGCCTGTGTGTCGTTGGCTTGCCCAAAACTGTGAAGGTGATCGACAACGCAGTGCTGTTGGATGAAAACCGATACTCATCGAGGCCTAACCAAAGGGGCACCCATAACTCCCTCATTTGTGCCAGGAAGCCTGAGAAAACCTAATGCCCAATACTATCCATTTGTCGGTTAAACTGGTTGGTGGAAAAATATGGATTGGTCTTCCTATATTATTGCTGCTCAGCATAGTATATAGGGGAACCTTTGAAGTTGTAGACTGACGATGATTGGGCCACTTGCCTTTCTGCCGGACCGCGAATCTTTTCAATTCAATCAAACGTTACAATTATTATAAGCTAAATATCTTCCTATCGTTGATGTCTTTAAAATAGTTTTTGTCGCCTGTCGGTTGAAGTTCGCCATGGACTCAATAAAAACGTAGTTCGTGTAGCATGTGTAAGGCAACGGAGGGCATTGGAACCGAAGGTTCAAACGCAGCAACCGAGGAAAGTAGTGATATGGACGGACTCTAGGGCTGTCTTGTTTCATTCTCAACATCAATAAAAACAACCCTCATTGGTTGCAACAATGCTAGCTGCTGCAAGGATGGGCTGGCAAATCGTTTTTTCAGTGGCCGCCGGCATAATCTGGAATTTTAGAAAACAAAATGGCTGACGTCTTCGGTTGGGATTGCAGCCCTCTTTTAAGATGCTGTACGTGTAATGTCGAAACGTATCACATCCGCTATTTCCCTTCACAGGTAGAATAAAGTCCAGCGCCTCATCAGTGCTTACTGCACAAAGCTCCAACCTCACTCAAATGTTGCAGATTACAGCCTTTCACCTGAGGTTTTTTGTTTTGTTTTGTTTTTTTTTCTTTTTAAGTTTCAGATATGAATCCGCGTTTTCACGTCAATTGAGGTTAAATTGTGCAAACACCCGAAACTCTTTTCGCAAACTCAAAGGGGTCAATGAACCAAAATTCCAATACTGCAGGACACGAGAAGACATTGGACACGCGCCACCTCCCTGCACGAAATACGCAAAGGAGCGCAAGGCCCTTTACTCTTGGTACGCAGTTCGTGGTCTTCCTTACTCGGCCGTCGAACATCATTTGCGCCACGTGCAACTGCACACAGAGTCTTCATAGCCAATCATGGCGAATTTCTGCCGAAGACGAGTCTGTCAAGAGACACCCCGAACAACAAGCCTACTCAACTGTCAATTGGAAGAGTATCACCCTGAACATTTTATCCTCGCAATATTTCGAACCCTCCTGCTAAATGCTCACCCTGTCTCTTTCAATCGTCATTCGTTTTACCATCGCACCGACATATAGCGATTTGCCCCGTCGATGACGCCCAACCTCTCCCGGTTATCTCCTCTCTCTAAACACAAACAAAGAAGTACCAAACAAAAAATAAGATTTCTTTTTTTCTTTTTCTTCACTGACTGACAAGTCACGATCTTAAAGCAAGTGAATTTATATTTTCTAAATGTCAATTTAAAAAGACCCTATGGTACGGAAAAGTTCAAGAAAAGTAGAAAATTAAGTATTTGGGTACACTTTTTGTTATGCCAATGAATCCGACAATAAATATTAGGCTCCTATGTTACTTAAAAATAAAATTTTTAAATATCTTGGAGCAAAACGAAATATTGTCGTAGGTTTTAATAAACATTTTCACATACTTTTCTCTTCTGGTGCTTGTCGTGTAACATGCTTGATTACCAGTTGTCGAGGGGCTGCGCCGGTGACGATTATATGCTGTAAATGATGGATCTATCAGCTTCCATGTAGTGATGATTATGTATTCGCTCAATATTGATTCAGCATTCAGTTGAGAAGGTTTAAGTTATAGTGGCACTCTGAAAGAAACTGTTTTCATGAACACGAACGTATATTCAGAAAGGGGTTTGTTTTGGTGTATGTGAAAAGTGGTTAGAACACCTTGAATGCTAAAAAGTATGGAAGTAAGCTTACCTCTGCTTTCTCTTCACCAACCGACTGTCAGTAAGGAAAACACTGCTTGGAACCAATCGCGGCTCTGGTGATGGAAATGCGGGTGGTTTCGAGCTACACATCTTACCTTGTATTTAAGGCCTCCTGACATGAATAAAAGTGACAACAGTTGCCAACGAAGCTGTTCGCAGTTCTCGATAGTGCAAGTTGCAGTTGGGATAGCAAGCTCGTGAGAAAAGGAAACAGGACGAAACACAGTTATGCTTTAAAGACGGACAAAGCGTTTTATGCATTTTATATTGGATCCATTTGCAAAGTACATGAACGGTGCACGGAGTCTACGTGAACGCACACTGTCGCACATTAGCGGCGATACCGACTCAAAATGAGCGCTATTATGGAAGATCCACATAAACAACATTGTTGTTTATATGTACAAAGTTAACGATAACCAGATATATTACATAACGTGACTATGACGTGTTTTAGGACCGCAAGCGCTGTGCGTTTGCGATAGCCTTGCGTGCTCCCCTTTGCGCATGCGCGTCGTCGCCATGTGCCAGTCCAAGAACGTAGTTTGTGCTCCGCGCACGCGCAATGAGGGACACGCAATGTTAACGCATAGTGCTAGCGTTCGTTCGTTTACGCAATACCAAATCTCACTCATTACCGGAATGTATTGCTTTATGGGGTTGCAGTTTATTTCTGTATTTCACTCTCAAAATACTCCATGAGCTCGCTTTCCTGCAGAACTTGGAAAAAGGAAAACACGGCGACCAATAGAATGATTCCAGGGAATGATAAAACTCAGAATACAATTGGACCAGACAAAATGCGATGTTCGCTGATTCATCAGCGTGACATTGTACTTGTTCATTAGCTCTGCACACATAACATTCTTCAGATTCACTCGTTATCTTCACTTCGTCGTTCGCCGTAGTTGGCTGCGTCTGCTTCCTCCAGGAAAGGGAACTTAACGGATGTTTTCTGCGGCGTCATTGTTCCTGGAGTGTGCGAGTTGAGTTCATGAAAGTTCTGGATGATGTCATTGGCCCTCGCGAAGTTGCTTATATTCGATGTTCCTTAAACTCGGGTGTTTTAATGGGACTGACTTAATAATGGAAACTATGTCAGGAACTTGGATAAGCCTAGTTTACCAACTTAAATTGACTGTATACGTTTCTGTCAGAAAAGTAGAGCATTTATCTTATTACACTGTGTTGCGGCATCTGTTCAAGCAAAGAAAGCTTAATTTTTCTGCTCGTTAATTAGAAAACATATCTTTATTAAAAATTAATAAAAAGGCACGGCCGGTTGTTTTATTCCTTATAAAACTAAGATTAAACAAACGTAAGAGGCAACTGGGCAGTTTAAAACAAACATCTTTCTGACATGATGTCCAATTTCATATTAGTCAACGACCTATATGCAAATTACAATTTACTTTTGTTTATCTATGAATAATACCGGCTGTACCAATAAGTAAAGCAGAATTACATGAAACCGTATACAAAATAAAGGCTCGGACGTCTTTTTTGGCCATTGGGGCCCTAATCTCCAAACACTTGTTTATTGAGTAAACCGTGGTAATAACATAAAAACACATCAAGAACGACTACACTTATTATAATCAATTCATAAAAAAAACGCCGAAGCTTGTGACGTATTTCAATCAAAACGTTCAAAGTACGTTTTGCATTTTTTGATTGAGGAATCTTCTCGCTCCTTCGTCTGCCTTGCTTAAAAAGTGCACACTCAGCTAAAATGTCCCCGCCAAAGCGAACTTCTTCAAATGTGCTCAAACTAAACGACGCCACCCAGGTCTTCAGAACCCCAGAG